GCAAAAATTTGGATTCTTATATGTGCGTTATTTGAGTTCATGTTTTGTCAAGTAACTTTAGTAGATGGGAAGTTCACGAACTGCTATATATATAATTTGGTTGAATTTTTCTTTGCAAGAATAAATAATTTTATGTTTATAAAAAAATCTAGTTTCATAGAATCATGGGGTTGCACTGTGCATATGTGTGAATTAGAGGTTACTAATGATAAACATTAACACTTGGCTTGTTTTGTAGCACAATAACAACTTCTAAGTGTTAAATTTCACAGAACCAACATTGACAGAATCAAAATTGACAGAATCAAAATTGATAAAATCAAAATTCACTTTAAAAAAACAACAACTGAATAATTTCAATAGAATACGGTACGCTTTTAAATCGTGTTCTCTCTATGTCAGTGGTTCTTAAACTGGGTTTGATTGAGCCCCAGGGGTTCGGTGAGTCAGTCTCAGGGTTTCAGCGCAGGTCCAAATAATTTCAGGAAAAAAAATCATATTTTATTTTTTCCTATTAAGAAAAGATCGGTGAATGCACATATATCAAACTGGTGGGGTTCAGTACCTCCAACAAGATTAAGAACCACTGCTCTATTTGAAGTAGAATATCTTGCAGGGGCGTCCCCCCACCACATGAAATGAGGGGTCGAAATCAACAAACCTACCCCCCCCCCTCCCACACGCTTGGTACGCCCCTTTTGGCCAGTGTAATGAAACGGCATCCAAAACAAACTATACGATGAAACACAATAACTCTAACTCGTGTACATAAGTCAGTGGACTATTTTTAATGTGCTGTAATTATTGCTTTTATGGTTTGAATTTTTTTAGAGTTTGACCATGTTCAAATGTTTCTACAGGTCATTAATCCAAATGTGATTTTTTTTTTTTTTTGAAACTATTAAACCTAGTTTCTGTAAGGTCTTGAGGCTTCATTAAATCTTTTGGTGTGCCCCTTGTGTGCCACGCCCTGGAGGTTGTGCCCCTTGTGTGCCACGCCCTGGAGGTTGTGCCCCTTGTGTGCCACGCCCTGGAGGAATACCACCCCTGTTCTAACATGAATATTAGTTTTGATCAGCATTCACCAGTCCCATCTCCCTCTGCAGTTCTACCCCCCCCCCCTTTCTGTATTCACCAGTTCCACCGACCTCTGTATCCCCCTGTCCCACATTTCCATCCACCGGCCCCCTGTCTCCATCCCCCAGTCCCCAATCATGCTCACTGTAACTCTAGCACATCTGATTTTATTTTTATAAATGTCATCTTGCTCAGGTTCAAGCTAATTGCTAAATTCTTCGCCATGTATACTCCAAGGAAGTTTTTGGGGGAAAATATCAGCTGGGTCAGCAAATTAGGCGTTTTGTTTCCCTTTCTCTTTAAGTTATCGTCATTTGGTGAGAGGATTTATATTTATTTCGCTATGGACCCTAGAAGTACCCTAAACTTTGTAGAGAGTAAAGGGACCATTCTCTTCTCCCATGAATAAAATGTTTAAACAATAATCATTTTCGTTAAAGGCATGCAACCTCTGTTAATCTTTAAGACACTCATCGGAACTTTTGCGACAAACCAATCTAGTTTATTTTATAGCATCGCAAACACAACAAAAATACAGCGCCTAATGCCAACCAATGTTGTTCACAGCAATGTTCAGCACACAAAAAAATGCTTTAAAACTCAGGAAGGTCGGAGCAAAGGCAAAATCATTTCGGAGATGAATTAAATAAGGGAAAAAAGATTTTTAAAAAATAATTTTTCGGTTTTTTTTTTTTTAATTTCTGACGTCATGTCTATGCGGGCAACGTGCGTCATATAATATTCTGTCTTTCTGTTTGAGAAAAAGTAAAAAAAAATTGTGTGTGTGTATTGTCTCTTCAAAAAGTTTAATTTGATAAACAAAACAAATAATTGCGGTTATGTCCCATGCCCCTAAATGAACCAAACACAAGTGAGAAATATTCCGAATAACATGCTGACTTGGCGTTCATATTTTCAGATTTTAAAAAAACAGCACTTAATGATAAAAGGCCAAAAGTCTGTATTAATAGTTTTCAAAAAAAATTTCATGTCATATCAGAACCAATCAACCCACATATCGGTTTGCAATATCATTTCATTAAATAAGATATACTTTTTAAAAAAAATTCATTGAAATGATTAAAACTGTGTAGTTGTTTATAACGTCAATCATATTTTTTTTTTTTTAAATATCCATACAAAGCCTGCGATAGCTACATTGTGATCTGGAAACATTTAAGTTTTTCAAATTTATATAATTTTTTTTTAAAATTTATAATTGTATTGTCTGTTGAAGAAGGCGTTTAGCCGAAACTTCCTTTTAATTATTCTGTCTTTTTTTTTTCAAGTCTAAAATTATATTGTTCCTCTACTTCTTCACTTCACACGGCTAGAACGCACTCCATCATATAATATTTAAGAAACCGCTTGAAGGGAGTTATGTTTCGAAGCATCTGAGATTTATTAAACTTTACCTTTATGTTAAAACCTCTTTCTACGGCGGAAGCTGGCTTTAATTTTGAAACGTTTCAATAAAGATGGAGAAGCCCTGAAATATTTCTTATTGTTCTTTGTTCCTCCCCCAGGTCAATGAATATGATGGATTTCAAGATGTCGGTGATACCTGAATACTTCCACAGTGGCGGTATGAAGCTGGACGACGGCATGAAGCCGCTGGGCGGCATGGAGTACCCGCACATCAAGTCGTTCTCCAGCCACGACATCAACATCAACGCCATCAGGTCCCACCAGCATCACGCCCTCCACGGACACGACCCGGTGCCATCTGTTGGTGAGCAGGATGAGCCACCTTGAACCAAACAGTGGTTTTTAAAACCAATTTTTTTTATATCAGCAAATACAAATATAAATGACAATGTGAAATAATCGTAAAGAATGTATTTAAATTTTTTTTTAATTAAATAGACGTTCCGGGTGGTATGAAGCTAAGGTTTGACAATCGGAACATGTCTTTAGATTGTGTTGATTTGTTGAGACCAATAAGTGTGAAAGAAAGTTAAATATCTTTTAACGGTCATATTCATCACACTTTTCTGTTAGTTTGGAGATTACCCGATCACTTCAGAAACCTGCTGTGATTGTTACACTACTGGACGCCTTACCCCGTCTTATACTAAAAATCCTTTGTTTTTTAATTGTTCAAAAATGCGATCGCCTCACTCATATAGCTACAACTCTTGGTCAATTTATCAAGGAGAGTGCGTGCTTTTTTTTGTTTTTTAAAGAGCAGTTATAAAGATTTTGATGCCTCGATCTGAATATTATTGCAAATTGTTCGCGCTCTGTTTGTCAATCTTTTGTCAAAGTCTGAATGTTCTGATTTGGCATTGGTTTCTGATTTTTAAAAATTTTGTTAAGAATTATTTAATAAGACTTCGAGTGCCACGCTATCATGTGATGAAAGTTTCTGTAGGCTACTATCACATGTACCCCCCAGAAGTTGATTTCTTGGAGTAAACGCGATAGTATGCCTAACTTTTTTAAAAATCCGAGCTCATGACGAACAAAATAAGCTAATGTCCTATAAATACTAACACAAAAGGTGCACATATTAAAACATATTACTTAAATAAATAAAATTCAGTTTAAAAAATTCAATATAGACCATAATGAACTTTTTGGGGGATTTTAAATTGTGCATGTGAAAATGACCGCTTACATTAATAATTGATGATGGTCAAGAGTCAATTCAATTATATTTATTTTTGTTTGTTTGTTAACTTGTTTGTTTGTTTGTTTGCAAATAAATATTCTCAAAGTTTGTTTCCCCCCACCCCCCGTTCTATTAATAGACAAAGATGAGGAGATGACGTCAGCGCTAAAGCAGCACCACCTGCACCACCTACACACCCATCCCCACCATGCCCTCACCGGAAACCACGGGTCTGGACATCACGACCTATTTAACCTCAAAGAAAGGTCAATATCACTGACACGCTTTCAGCCCAAATCCTGAACTGTCACAACTAAATATATCAAATCTCACTCACATAAATAACAAAACAACAAAAACAACAACAAAAAATAATAATTAAAAAACGAAACAGCAAAACGACAAATCATAAGTCACTTATCTTCTTACTAATTTTATCGGTCATATATTTCATACTTTTTTAACAATCACTTATTTCATACCTTTTTAGTAATCGCTTATTTCATACCTTTCAAGCTATCACTTATTTCATACCATTTTATCAATCGCTTATTTCATACCTTTTTAGCAATCACTTATTTCATACCATTTATCAATCACTTATTTCATACCTTTTTAGCAATCACTTATTTCATACCATTTTATCAATCACTTATTTCATACCTTTTTAGCAATCACTTATTTCACACCATTTTATCAATCACTTATTTCATACCTTTTTAGCAATCACTTATTTCATACCATTTTATCAATCATTTATTTCGTACTCTCTTAACGACTTCTTATTTCATACATTTTTAAAATCACTTATTTCATACCATTTTATCCATTTTTATTTCATACCTTTTAAGAGTCAGCATTTTCATACATTTTTATAAATGAAATCAAATTAAAAATGGTTTGACTAATTTAAAAATTCAAATTATACAATATTAATCCATTCAACCCATAAGCAACCCATAATCCTCAAGCCACCATCAACCCTTTATCCACAGACCATATTCCGCCGAGGATCCTCTTATGAAGCGGTTGTCAATGGCCCAAGACGACCGAAGCTCCGACATGAGACCACTCTCTAACCTGCACGAGCACGTCTCGAAATCGTATCCCGAGAACCAGGTCGAGTTTTCTGGCTTGTCCAATAAATACGGACTCAATCTGAACAACACCAGCCCCATCGACAACAGCGTGTCACCACAACGCGGCCTAGAACACGCAAAGGACTATAGCTGCGCCGCACAGGGTTCAACGAACACGCCGCCGTTGTCCACGTCTATGACGTCAGCGTTGTACACGCGGCTCTATAACGGCGAGACGGAACCCGCGTATTTCTCCCCCTTCAAGTTTTATCCCACGTACCCCAGCACCCCGACGCCCCTGGATAAAGACTGCGAGAAGCTGTACCTGACCAATCAGGACCACACGTCGTCGTTGTCCCATTACAAACCCCAAACCCGCTACAACGACGTGCCTTCCAATACCGAACACCTGACTAACACGGCGAGGTCTTATTCGTGCTTTGACCGCTGTGAACCGACCACTGCTAAAAACAGCGAAGGCGGCAAGAACTTGGCGAGCAGCAACACCGCTGGGAATCACCCCGGTGGCGTCACGGGAACCGGGAACGCCAAGCCGAAATCTGAAATCACCGACGACCGAGACAGCAAATCGAGCAAATCACACGGCACGGGCAGCGTCGTGCCGAAGCAAGAACCGGTGTCCGAGCCGTCCGGAAAATCCACGAAAAACGTTAAAACCGAAGCGGATTCTCTCGGGAAGGCTTCCTCGCGGAGCGAGACGTCGGCGAATTCACCGAATTCTCCGCAAGAAAACAAGTCCGCCACGCCCAACAACAAGGACAACCCGGAGTCTTTCAAGGACCCCAACGTGAAACCGCCCTACTCGTACGTTGCACTCATTGCCATGGCGATCAAAGAATCGACCGAGAAGCGGCTCACACTGAGCGGAATTTATCAATTTATCATAGGGCGGTTCCCGTATTACGAGAAAAACAAGAAAGGCTGGCAGAACTCAATTAGACACAACCTCAGCCTCAACGAGTGCTTCGTCAAAGTGGCCCGCGAAGGGGGCGGGGAGAGGAAGGGCAACTTCTGGACCCTGGATCCGGCGTTCGAGGACATGTTCGAGAAAGGGAATTATCGGAGGCGGCGACGGATGAAGAGGCCGTACAGGCCGACCCTGTCGCTCCACAAGCCCCTGTTCTCCGATCACACCCACGCCCTGAATCAGTTCGCGTTCAACAACTATTTCAACGCCCCGTCCTACTCGCAGTACTCGGGGTACTCGCCCTGGGCGCTGGCGCACAACGCGGGGCCCACCAACATGGGGGTATCTCAGCTCCCGAGCTACCGCTCCTGCCAGCGGATGTCTGCGCACACCGCCCTCAACGGACTGCACCAGTACTCCGGCATGGGCGTCGGCATGGGGATGGGGGTCGGCCTGGGGACCCCGGGCGCCCAAGTGCCCCCGAGCATGCCCTCGCCGTCGAATTACCCCTCGCCGTATCCTCAGTTCCCCGAGTACAGCGCCGTAGGTGGCGGATCCACGTTCGGCTTCCAGTGTCGACAGCAAGGAGATGCTTTTAACTCGACTCATTACAATTCCTACTGGGCCGACAGGTGAGGGCTGAAATACATGAGTGTATGAGTGTGTGTTTGTGTGTGTTTGTGTGGAAAGGGTGGGGGTGGGGTGTGTTTTTTTTTAATTTTTACTAACACTGTTGCAGCGTGTTTATGATTTTCACGCGTTTATCATATAAAGCCAAAGTGTTAACTTTATAGTGTTTTATTATATGAGCCATGGTGCTGGCGTTCAATGTGTTGAAAGTCTGTCTAAAGCCTCAAACATTTCAAGGCTATTAATCAATGCCCTAGTAGCCAATGCACTAGTAATCAATGCCCTAGTAGCCAATGCCCTAGTAATCAATGCCCTAGTAAACAATGCCCTAGTAATCAATGTCCTAGTAGCCAATGCCCTAGTAACCAATGCCCTAGTTTCCAATGCCCTAGTAATCAATGCGCTAGTAGCCAATGCCCTAGTAATCAATGCCCTAGTAATTAATGCCCTAGTAATCAATGCCCTAGTAGCCAATGCCCTAGTAATCAATGCCTTAGTAATCAATGCCCTAGTAACCCATGCCCTAGTAATCAATTCTCTGGTGATCACTGTCATGGTAATCAATGCCCTAGTAATCACTTCCCTTGTAATCAAGGTCCTAGTAATTAATGTCCTAGTAATCAATGTCCTAGAAACCAATGCCCTAGTAATCAATGCCGTAGTAACAAATGCCCTATTAATCAATGCCCTAATATTCAATACCCTAGTTATCTATGTCCAAGTAATCAATACCCTAGTTATCTATGTCCGAGTAATCAATGCCATAGTAATCAATACCGTGGTAATCAATGCTCTAGTAATCAATGCCCTCATAGTTAATGACTTAGTAATCAATGTCCTAGTAATCAATGTCCTAGTAATCAATGTCCTCGTAATCAATGACCAAGTAATCAATGTCCTAGTAATCAATGTCCTAGTAATCAATGTCCTAGTAATCAATGTCCTAGTAATCAATGACCTAGTAATCAATGAACTAGTAATCAATGTCCTAGTAATCAATGTCCTAGTAATCAATGTCCTAGTAATCAATGTCCTAGTAATCAATGTCCTAGTAATCAATGTCCTAGTAATCAATGACCTAGTAATCCATGACATAGTAATCAATGCCCTACTAATCAATGACCTAGTTATCAACGCCCTGCTGAATTGCTGTTGATAATTAATACAACAGAGATTGCGATCTGGGTAGTTTGACATAATTACGCACAAGCGCGAAGAAGTTTTAAGTTTATTTTTGATGTGTCTCATTTGAACGTGCATTCTTGAGTCGTCTGCCCACCGCTGTTGGTGGACAATGAGGCATACTACATAAAATGTCACATCATCATTGCAGCATTGCACCCACACATAGACTTTGGAAGTGACTTAGCTGGGAAGGGGGCGCGGGGGGGGGGGGCTTGGTGTGGACCTTACCGTGGGACACCACCTCAGGAGGGTGCACCATCCCCGGAGGGTGACACCACCCCAGGAGGGGGACACCACCCCAGGAGGGCGACACCAACCCAGGGGGGTGGCACCACCCCAAGGGGAGGGGGCGGGGGGGGGGGGGGCTTGGTGTGGACCTTACCGTGGGACACCACCTCAGGAGGGTGCACCATCCCAGGAGGGTGACACCACCCCAGGAGGGTGACACCACCCCAGGAGGGTGACACCATCCCAGGAGGGTGACACCACCCCAGGAGGGTGACACCATCCCAGGAGGGTGACACCATCCCAGGAGGGTGACACCATTCCAGGAGGGTGACACCACCCCAGGAGGGTGACACCATCCCAGGAGGGTGACACCATCCCAGGAGGGTGACACCATTCCAGGAGGGTGACACCACCCCAGGAGGGTGACACCACCCCAGGAGGGTGACACCATCCCAGGAGGGTGCCACCATCCCAGGAGGGTGACACCATCCCAGGAGGGTGACACCACCCCAGGAGGGTGACACCACCCCAGGAGGGTGACACCATCCCAGGAGGGTGCCACCATCCCAGGAGGGTGACACCATCCCAGGAGGGTGCCACCATCCCAGGAGGGTGACACCATCCCAGGAGGGTGACACCATCCCAGGAGGGTGACACCATCCCAGGAGGGTGACACCATCCCGGGAGGGTGACACCAAACTGACACCTTGCATATTCACAGAGCGCACTCTGCTCCGTCTAACCGATCCCACGTGAATTCTCCACGAATGTAACCAATCCAGAAGAAAAGTCCACGCTTGATGCTTCAGAGATGGGGTGACCCTTTCATGAGGTGAATAGCTGAACTGGACTTCCGAGAAACTCGTCCGACACTCTCGCTAACCACTTCAATTGTTTCGCACGATCTGTGTGTCTGTGGGCTTCATGGGAGCGGAGCTTTTTTTAAAAAAAACTTACCAAGAACGATTTACGATCCACCATGGGACATTCAATGCTTTCTGGTTCTGGCTCTACTATCAATTGACGATGATACGGTGAAGGATACTGATGTCCATCAACTCATTGACAAGTTTGCAGCTTTGAGGTCCACGAAAGCAACATTTTAAATGATGTACATTTATTGTAAATACAACTATAACTTAACGTTGTTAATGTTCTAAAATACATTTAACCCCTGACCTTCAGTTTAGTTTATTTTTTCTTCTTGTCACACTGTGGACTTATTTTAACTTTAAGAAATCCATCATGGATGTCGGGGGCGGGGGTGGGTGGGTGGTGGGTCCACACCATGAAAGCCCCGCACCGGGTGGCACCTACCCCAACTACGCCCCTGGTCTCTGGTGGAGCTCGTTTTATTTAACATATGTAATTTTTAGGGATCCAACGGTTGATTTGTCTTGTTTCTGTAGCACGGCGAATGGTAAAATGTAATGTAGAACGCGAAATGTACAACGAAACTGTCGGGCTTTATTTTAGCGCAATTTTCAAGCGTTAAATCTTTCGTTCAGGGGCTGAATTTAACGATTGCTCGAGGCGTAAGTGTAGCTGCAGGCCCAACGTAGCCCTGACGGCACTCAACATAAGTGTGAGTTTAATATTTTAATTTGTTAAGCTAAAAAAAAATAATTGCTTTAAAAAAGAAAGGTAAATGACATCCCTATTGCTTATTTTTTTTAAAAAAAAGGTGAACCAAATCCCCAATTTTTAGTTTTAAAAAACTTTAACCAAATCCCCAATTTTTAGTTTTAAAAAGCTTTAACCAAATCCCCAATTTTTAGTTTTAAAAAACTTTAACCAAATCCCCAATTTTTAGTTTTAAAAAACTTTAACCAAATCCCCAATTTTTAGTTTTAAAAAACTTTAACCAAATCCCCAATTTTTAGTTTTAAAAAACTTTAACCAAATCCCCAATTTTTAGTTTTAAAAAACTTTAACCAAATCCCCAATTTTTAGTTTTAAAAAACTTTAACCAAATCCCCAATTTTTAGTTTTAAAAAACTTTAACCAAATCCCCAATTTTTAGTTTTAAAAAACTTTAACCAAATCCCCAATTTTTAGTTTTAAAAAACTTTAACCAAATCCCCAATTTTTAGTTTTAAAAAACTTTAACCAAATCCCCAATTTTTAGTTTTAAAAACTTTAACAAAATCTCTATTATTTAGTTTTAAAAAACATTAACCAAATCCACAATTTTTAGTTTTAAAAACTTTAACAAAATCTCTATTATTTAGTTTTAAAAAACTTTAACCAAATCCCCAATTTTTAGTTTTAAAAACTTTAACAAAATCTCTATTATTTAGTTTTAAAAAACATTAACCAAATCCACAATTTTTAGTTTTAAAAACTTTAACAAAATCTCTATTATTTAGTTTTAAAAAACTTTAACCAAATCCACAATTTTTAGTTTTAAAAACTTTAACAAAATCTCTATTATTTAGTTTTAAAAAACTTTAACCAAATCCACAATTTTTAGTTTTAAAAACTTTAACAAAATCTCTATTATTTAGTTTTAAAAAACTTGAACCGAATCTTTTATTATCAAGTTTAAAATCGGTGAACAACTTCCCTGTAACTGAGTTTAAAACAGCCCATTCTTTTGTTTACTAGTCATGAAATAAATGGAAAATTGAAATATTTTAATTATCGAATGTGCTAACACATTTTTTTAATGTAAATACTCATCCCCTTTAATTGCTGATGTCGTATTTTGTTTAATTATTTACAAAACATATATTTTTTTTTAAAATTCAAATATAAATTATAAAATTTACAATAATTCGACTCCTCTTACATAATAAAAAACAATTCCCATCCATCATATTCAAATGTTTTATCTTTCCTTATATTTTAAACGGCTTTTAATTAATCGACAAACCTTTTTGTGGATTTGTTGTGATGACGATGAAAACAAAGTAAAACATAACAAAGACAATGGTGCGGTTTTTAATAATAGGGACAAAAATAGATTTAAAACGTAGTGGTGATTTTGATGGACATACAGGGCCGAGCCAATGGTTGCTGGCGCCCCGGGCAAGCTTAACTTTGGCGCCCCCTTTATATAATCACAAAATAATGTGCATGCAAGAAAACTAGGGGCTAGGTATTACTTTGGTTACTAAAAAAAATAATAATAATAAATGTAAAAATTAATTTTGTTTTTCTTAACTTGTATTTGGACACTGTAAAACTATTAACCTACCGATGGCAATTTGTGTCAGCCTTTAGGTCAGCAAATATTTTTATAGCACTTTCTATATTTATATTCTTTGCAACATCATTTTCTACAGACCAAAATTGCCAAAGAATTCATTCTGTCTTGAGACATTAATGATCGTAAATATGTTTAATAAGCTTTACTTTACTTACACATTTCTCACAAAATAGGTATTGCAAGCATTCTTCTTTTAGTGCTACCAACAGATTTGGCATGACATACAGTAACGTTTTTGTGTTTATGAATTTAGCGGTTTCCAACTGGAAGCTTTATATTGTGAGGAAATATTTCTTTGGCTATATCTATAGTTCAGTCAACAGATCACATCAATTTATATCTTTATAATCTTGATACCTCAACTTATTATTATTTTTTAAAA